CTAAAAATGCTCTACTGAGTGGCTTGCAGGTTTACTGGTCCCAAGAGAGGCGTGCGTGCTGAGCGGGCTATTGTATCGCATCAGGAGGTTTACGACACTTAAATCTCTATTGGGTTAAGAGTCAAGTCTCTGAAACTGCACGTATCTGGTAAAAATCTAATAATGGTAAATTAACTTTTCGGGTGCTTGAAATGCTGAAATGACGACAACTGAAAGTATCATCTGGCCGTATTATGTGTCTAAACAATCTGCTGATTTTAACTGTTCAGATCATAAACCTTGTTCTTCAAATTTTTAACATATGTGTTGCAGATTAAATATTGCTTCGCATTATTATATATCATAAATTAAGTAATACTTATTACGTTCTGAGCTGTTATTCTAATCGACTTTTAAGAGTCCAGTGTGACCATGTTTGTTAAAATATTTTTAAGAATTATTCAATACTTATTTGTAAATGTAATCTCATCAATGACAATTTACCTAACCATGAAAACTAACTCAACACATAGAAAATTCGAATTGTATAAACTAAATAAGAAACATCGCTTGTTGTAAAAATAAGAAATTTCTTTACGCCATCGTCATTTCTTAGCTTTCAATATTTTTTTCTATTCTAGTTCAAATAACGACTACAAAAGTGTATATTAAGCGTCACTTTCACATCAGAAAATTGCAGAAACTTAAACTAAATCAGTCGTAGGGAAAGATTGAATACTATCCAGCAGAAGTGATGAACGTTAAATTAAAAAAATTAAGTAGGTCCATCAAATATATATTAATAAATCTGTAAAGTATGTAACTAAAACACGTTTAACCCGTTAAGTTATGGTTTATTTTGATTGAAACATTCCTCACTACGCTATTCAAATTTATCTCACCTCTGTGGATACAATTATTATGAAGAAAATTTAAGTGGTACATGTTCAATAAAATTTATTTAAGAAAATAAAAAAATTGTTTTGGTTATGATTATGTGGATTTATAAAATAATTTACAAAATCAAATTTTACACTAAAGGTACACACATAATCGTAACATCGTCATTCTCACCATATCCCCACCGGGTTCTTCTTAACCGCCATAGCGCTCCGACCGACCGCGGTTGAAGGGTGTAACATGATCGGACTATTGTCGAACTCTACGATTTCAACGTCTCTTTCTTTCCTATTTGTTCTCTTCTATGCCCGAAAATTCAACCGCTAATCATGCAAAGAATTACAATTGTAATTCTATCGTGTTCGGTGTCATTTTAATCAGAAAAAGATAACAAACATAATGGTGACAGTTTTATTAATTAAATATCAAAAATAAAGAAGTTTGATTTTTAATTAAAAGTCTCAAACTCATCGTGAGTCTTTAATATTGCCGAACGCTTCGATTCTTAGTCTTTCTTTTTCCTTCACTTCCATTGTTCTTTTCTACGTCCACTATGTTAAAATCTTCGTTTCTTGGTATAGATTCTGGATTGGATTTTATTAATAGAATATGCTGCATAACTTTCTGAAACAAAAACTTTAAAAATAGCTAATGCTTTTACCGTCGCAGTAAGTAAGTCTTTTAACGAACAAAAATAGATACTTTAGGATACTTATCAACTGATCAAATATTTGTTACTACAGACAGGCACGCAGTTTAGTTAATATTAACTACAACATTTGTGTTCATCAATTAACTAAAAACAACTTCATATAAATTCATGTTTACACTAAACAGCATATCGTAAGAAACAAGGATCAATTTATTTTCTAGATAAATAATTAGGTCACGAGATAAACGAGAATATAATTAGTGTTTCAACGTTCTCATCTCTAGGCGTATATTTATTGCAACACAGTCAAACGCGTATGCACGTCGATACTTTAACATATTGACCACCGCATAATTTCCTAGAGCAAAATACACAAAATGGAAAAGATATAATATTAAATCATTTGATTGAATGGTATTATTATTATACGCTGATCTTGCTCGATGTCACCACATTAAGTAGCATTGTTTGTAATATACAAATGTTTTCAAATAATCACCGTTTAATTGAATGAACTATAGTAATTCGATTTGACTCGGGGCCACTGGTGACCCCCATGGCATTCAACGTGTTAATTAAAGTTGCATTCGAGTGAATGCGTTCTTAAGAACTCTCTCAATGATCAATGGATAAGTTAAAAAATATTTTCCAATTGAGCTGGTACGGAGCAAAGAATAAGCCTCCACTTGGAAGAGTTTCATAAAACGAAACCTGCAGTTTCTCGATAAGTATGCCAGTCGAGTAGACCTTCCCAACCCTGAAGAGCTTTCCGCTCGCGATGAAGCTATGAAGCGGCTTTTGTTAACAAGCCGTCAGTCTTAATCTAGTTTATTCCTTGGCTTAGACTTCTGGGACGCTGGATGCTTCCGGCTCGGTGGTAACGTCACCTCCGGAGATCGACAGGGATGTGAGTTTTTATTTAATTTCCGCATTCGCAATTTGCTGGCGTATTGCTGCGGGCACCTCGAAATATGCCGCGAAAAAATCGATTCTTCGTTACACGCTTCATGGCTTCCCTGTTTGCTTTATTCTACTGAAACGTCATTTCACGGTTTTATTTTCGCGTTACAATATTCTCGATTTTAATTCGTTTCATTTGACTGTTTTACTTACAAGGGAACTTTTAAATCAGCGCACACCGATTTTGATGAAACTTATGTGCAACATAATAATAAAAGACATAACCTATAAAAAGACAAGCATTTACCGTTCTAATAATCTATTTGTTCAAAGTAGGTAATATTTGTTAAGAATTCGTCAAAGTTCATAAAAATAGCTATTAGAAGTACAAATACAGTGATTATTATCCACATACAAAATATTAATATAAAAATGAATGTTTATTTCTTTTCAAAGTACATTTTTAGATAAATATTAATATAAATATGAATTTTATTTTTTTAGAAAGTACATTTTTAGATGACGAATTTATTTAAAAATCCTTATCATTCACTCTTCTATTTTTTGCACAAATGTAACGCAATTTTTGTTGTTTCACATCTACACAAATAATACTAACAGTAACAATGAAGGAAAACAAAACAGTTGTTACCATAAATAAATTAAAATAAGGAACAGCTAGTTTCAAGTTACCGACATACTTTGATTTGAATGATTTTTTAATATAGTTAGTGGTATAATTTTTGATAATGCTCCAGCCTACGGTACACCTAGGTAACCATAAATAAAATGAACCAACGAAATGGTGAGATTCTAAATGAATGTGACAATACAGATAAGTTCTATATCGTATAAGGACCCTTAACGGACAAGTTTCAGAAATAGCTAAGAAAAGATCGGATCGCATTAGGAATTCTGAAACTTCTCCTGCAGACAAAAGTACGAAGCAACGTGAAGTTTCCAGAGCACTCCAAGCATGGGTTTGGAAAAGGAAATTTGAGGTGTGCTCTTTTACAGCCTGCAGTGTTCTCAGCCTTTCAAGTTTCATTTAGGAAACTCAATTCCTGAAACATCGCCGCGACTATTGATTTCGAAAAGAATTGATGTTGAGTGAAACTGACCGCTAAGATACAATTCTGTCAATTGAGAAGAACCGTTCTGCTTTGTACAATTCATATTCTAGCAAGCATTCATTTTTCATTTAAAACTGAACTATAGAGGTTACGGTTGAGAAGTGTAAACCAACTGCGACCTTCATGCATTTAAAATATACAGAATCGTATTTCGTATTTATCTTGATACATTTGCGACTGCTATTTCCACGTTTCTTTCATTGAAAGCTAATTGAAGTAAAACAATTCTAAAATTAGTTGTTGCAAATTTCTATTACCGAGACAAGAAAATAAAAATATAAAATTTAGTTTAAAATATCGAGCTTGTAACTAACTGTTAAAAATACAAAAAAACTATTCTGTTAAAATGTCAACCGGAAAAAAGATAAATCTGACGCGAATGTACGTCATCGGTTGGAATATTTCCTTTATTTTATATTACAAAAAAAAGTTACAAACAAAATTTCAACGCTTTGCACGAGAATATTTCATATCAATCAACATGTTCTTTTTACACATTTTTATTTGTATGATTTGTTACTGAATGTAACAAGAAGAAAAATTTAATAACGTGCATATGTTTCCTCTGAGCGAAGAGAAGGAATGTATTCAGACGAATATTCACATTCATCACAGAGTTCATAGCCGTGTTATCTTGAAAAGCTATGACGAACAGTAATTTGAATTATTTTTTAATTATTAATTTCCGTCAATAATAAAATACTGTTTTGTTTGTTATAAATATTTCAAGTTAAAACAGAAATATTAATTAATGTCAATTTTACAGAAACAATTCTTAAAGATTCTTGCATGTACAGAGATATTAACCCATTGCATTCAAACATACTTTTCTCAACAAATATTCATTATTTTCTGTTGAAGTACCAATAATACTTGTTGCAACTAACATAAAAATAAATCTTGCGGAAATTAGAAAACAGAACTACCTTATTTCAATATTCCATATATTGATACATTATATAAAATTGAATATTGAATTATAAATTTTATAATTTTGCTGGAAAAATTAAGTAATGATTGAAGGGCGCTCAAGTGTAAAGGGTTAATATACACCGTATGTAAAAATAAACGATATTTATTTTATAAAGTTATGTACTCTCCTTTTCAACATTATTTCTGCCGAAGGTGTCAAGAGACACATTTTGAAATTTTAACTTAAAATCGTTTTCCAAGCTTAGTCAGTTAAGGAAAAATTATTCAACTGAGAAAATAATTTTAAGTTAAAATTTCAAAAGGTGTCTTTTGACACCTTCGGTGGAAATAGTGTTAAAAACATATGTGTTCGTATGAATCACGAAATCTAATATTTATTACTACCTCATTACTTTGTCATTTATTTCTTAGTTTGTTTTTTTTCGTAATAGACATCATATTGTAGCTGTTACGTGCGTCACATAAATACAACAAAAAGACACAAATTCTGCTTGATAACTTACGTCTGTCGATGAACCGAAAATTTCCAAAAAAGCCGGTCGCATTCGACGGGGGTCCCTGTGTGTGTAGTTCCAAAATAAGCGCAGATCTTGAACTGTACAATATTTGCGGAATGTCGCGCAGTTCACCGCAAAGTACACCAGACCAAGGAGTGTACTCGGAAACACCAGTGGTCTCCAAATGTAGAAACACTTTTACAAAATCACCACCCATGCAACTGAAACACAAATTAAGTAAAAATTGTAGAAAATTCCTTGCTGATTATTTAAGTGAAACGCTTACTGATATATCATTAAATAAAAAGGGGAAACACATTTAAATTACATTACAGTAAGAATATTCTACAGTCTACACATGTTTTTTTCTTACTAGTACTATATTTTTAAATATGTAACATAATATTGTGAGTAATAATTATATACCAATTACGATGTGGATTTAATATACTAATGTATACTATGTATTTCTCACCTTTCTTATACTATTCCAGTTACATTTAAATTCAACAAACTATATTAAAAAGTAACGAAACAACCACCATAAAACTGTTACAGAATAAGTAATAAATTAACAACGTCCATAAATTCTTTTAAACTATTCACATGGATGAAATAATTTCTTTACGTCTTTTACTTGATCACTAATAGAAAATATACATATATGGAACTGAAATAGATTATAACGTCTTTAAAATAAATATTTTTCGTAATAACAGAAAGACTATATGAAATAATATTAAAACACAATAAATACAGTAAACAGAATGTATTAACTTCAGAGAGTCTTCTTGAAATGTGATTTGCTTTGCGCGTTATAGTTACACTACCTTAAATTCCATCATTTGCTAATTCTATATAAGTATTTAATATTTACAGTGTCTAATGTAAGATACAATTTATATAAATAAGATATAAATTCAACTTCTAAATAGAGTAATGTAGTACATAGTAAACAAATACATACGAAATTAAGAATATGAATACACATGTTCAATAAAAGTTTATTTTAGTTAATCGAAGTTTTAGTTCAGTAATACTTGAAAGAAAAATTTCGTATTTATAGTAATTGCACTTCTATAAACTGGTTTAGATATAAATAAATAAATGATATAAATAAATAAATAAATAATTTTTACAACAACCGTTATCTAATCCTAATAAATGATATAATCTAATCTTCGAATTAATAAAAATAATTTTCTAAAGTATTATTTCTATGCAGGTTGATTAATTTAATATCACTATTCACGTGAAAGATAAAATATGTGACGTATTAATCACCCACTAATCTTAAATATCTTTTTCAATTCAGTTCTGTTGAGCTCAGCATATTTTCCAGCGTGACAAAGGTACAAAAATATGAAGCAACAATACAAAATTCCGGTTGAATACAAAATTTATCGTGATCTCCCGTCCATCTCCGCCAATCCTTTTGTAAAACAATGGATGACAGTTTTACATTGGAGACAGAAAAATGCAAAGAAGACTGTATGGCTGAATATCAAAGCCGGGGTGATATTTTGCGGCTGCAGGAAATCTTGGAATGTCTGAAGGGTATGAATTACTCGCGCCGCAAACACGTTTCACGACCATTTACAGAATAGTGACGAAGAAATTAAGGTAATTCATCTCACGACTTATTTGCCTATTTTCTTGTTCCTCTAGGTATAATACATTTCATAATGGATTCGTTTAAGATGTACAGTTTCATAATTTCGTTAGAGTAAATTGAAAAGATTTATCGTATAATAGAATGTGTTTAAAATACTTCTTTTGTTTGTGGAACTGTTGTACTAGCAGGAAGGCAGCTGTCAAATTTTTATAAATAAACCGATATTTTTGTCATAAATGTGGGACTGAGGTCAGTTGAAGTTTTTGTGTAGCGTACACTTTTAACTTCTTGCCCTATGACCCATTTCTTAACTCTGATCGATACAATTTCTTTATCATTAATAATTTATTTGGAAAAGAAACGACTTTGACGTTTATCGTATATCTACATTTACTGAAAAAGTTAATGATTCATAATAGAAAGTTTGTCAGTTCGTTTTCAAAACTAGACGACCACGTGGGAGTTTTAATACCACATCGGTTAATAAAAAAAGATTAAAAAATTTAGAAATATATTGTTGTAAAATCGATTCGCGTCAAAATTAATTTGGTTACAAGTATATTAACCTTTTAACGGTATCATACCTTACTAACTTCAATTAAAAATTCAACACTCAAGATTCGAAACTTTAATTATTTATTTTCTTTACATAAGTGAGAATCTTCTGTCATAGGAATTGATAATGTTATATCAATTTTTTCTTAATAATCAAATGAAAATAAATATTTGATTTGAAATTCGTTAATACCATACCTACTTACTAGGAAAACTTTTGGGTGAAGAGGTTAATTGACGATTGTATAAAAAGGAGTTTAGAAATCACTAAATTAATAAAAATTGAATTTTGTTTGAGTACGTTAAATTATAATCCATAAATATCAGTGTTTATTGAAGAGACATAAAACATTTTTACGAATATGAAAACTAACTTTTCTGTTTTTAATTAGAAGAATCAATTATTATATATGAATTACTGTCAATTAAATCAGTATTGTTAAATCTTTTCTTAGTTTAATACTATTATTCTGTAGTCTATGCCTATGCTGATATTTAAATCTATACACTGTACATTCTATATGACTCATCATGTACGATCATTTTATTTTTCATAGTACATAACATTATGTTCATTGAACGTTTAAAATCGCTAGAAAATATTGAAAATACTCTCAATTTTCCAACGCTTTTATGATAAATTAATGTCGACGGAACTGGTTTAATAGTAGTTGGGAAGAATAACAAATCGTACGTGTTATTTTTATTTGATTGATTTATTAAGAACGAGTTGACTGGCGATACTGCTCTTGTTTGCTTTGAATTACCATGTTAAACTGTTCTTATTTCGATTTCCAAGTTTATAATTACACTTCTGCGGATGAAGCTTACGTTTTCGTTTTATTTTTAATGGTAATTGAATAATAGGGTTTTCAAAGGGTGCACATTTTCATGGATTATGTTCAAAATTTAAACAGTTTTTAGATTGGAGAAATGTTCACTGTGAAAAGGAATATGAAATTTCGAAATAAAACTCATCATGTCTTGTTTAAAACACGAACACAAGATTAAAGGTAGTATGCAAGTTAAATGTTTAATTAAAAACATAACACATATAGTACAAATGACGCATTATAAAATATCTGCTTGATGGCAATTTATTCTCTCCATAATTCATTTCTTTCATGAAGATAATCTTATGTTCTTATTACTTTATTATTATATATTACTATTACCATTATTTTAAAAAAGATTTTACATTTGTATGTAAATACTGTGTTTGTTTCATATAATCATGATTAACATATGAAAGACCTGCAAATAAAGAATTACGCAAACTAAACTTTCGATTTTTTTCGCTACACTGTCGTCACATCGTACCGTAAGTGTATAATTGATGATGATAACTGTCAAGAGTTCATTAATTATAAAACTTATAATTTTATGAAATAATTGGTATAATTCATTTCATATTTGATGAAATATTAATGACACTTGCGTAGATCAAAGAAATTATTATTATTCACGGTTATAAATGAGGTTAGTGGAGTTGTTCTTTTTCCTGTTCACGCTGACCCGTGTTCGAAACTGCGAACCGTAATACAAGCCTTCATCAAACTTTGAGACAATGTTATATTAACTATTTTGACCAACAGTGTGTAATATTTCTCACGTTCCTAATTTTAAACATGCATGGTAACGGCTGAATTAAATTTTGGGTCATTCTATAATTAATACAGTTCTATTCAAAATTAATAATGAACTTAAAACAATAGTATTCGTCACCGATTTCAATTAGGTACTACCTGTTTGCTATATATAATGCTGCTGGTAATAATTATTTGAATAAATTTAAAATTTGAAAAAGTAAAACATATCAATTAAAGAGTAAATCATTTTACACAGCATATCCGTAAATTAAACAATATAATTAGATAACAAATTATAAATTAATATTTATTTGAATAAGACTAATTTTAGATATTAATTTTATAAATGTTATTGTTCGTATTTCGTTCGATACGTTTTGTATCTTTCATTACATATCCTTCATTTGTTTAATAAACAATTTTTTCCTTACTATATGTTTCGTCACATAAAAATTTAAGAGTAAGAAATGGCATATGAGATGTATATTATGTGCATTTACAAACTCTTTAAAGAAAGTGTCTTCATTGTAAAATTAATTTAAATGTTGTAAATATTAGATAGTAGTGAATCTAGACACTTATGTGTAGGTAATCATAATAATAATATGGATAAATAGGATTATTCTAACAGTATTACAAAGCAAGTCCATCGAATATTACACTTACTAAAATCTATAAATAATTCACATTATTCTTAATGTTTACTGGAAATTATACAAACAATTAGTAATCAATTTTGTTTACTGTACCTTAATTTTTAAACATTTTCTGGTACTACTGATGTTTGTTAAAAATTATAATTTACTCAGCCTGATCAAATAACATAATTATTAAAACGCAAACACGTATTGTTTCAGAAATTTTTATACAATGAAATTTTTTATAGTACAGACGACTGAAATTCGCTATTTTTGAGATAAAATAAACACGTGATATTTTCAACTTTCATCAAACTAGCATGAAATTGGAGTTTTAAAAGTTAATTCATTGCCACACGTTTTTATCAGACACGTGCGTTTCTAGAAACCGAGCTCTGAACTCAATAGCGATTGACGTGTCATAAACTACCTGATGCGACCCACCCATCAATGGTCCTTTTCACGCGCACCCCTCTCGAGTGGTTACTTCAATAACCCTGTAGGCCACCTCGTAGCATATTTTCACCCCTATAACCGTGCTATAGAGATGACCGTAGATTTATTAGATAACCACCCACAATTCCGAGGCATCTTCTTATTTGTCACATTCGACAGATTCTGGGAAACTCGATACTTGATTTTATTGCAATATCTATATATTTTACCACATTTTGTGCTATTTATACGAAATATCATAATTGTATTATATATAAGTAGAATTTTAAACTACAATTCAACTGAATTAGGCAGTGATGGAGTGAAAAATCGAGGAAACTTTGAGCTGTGAAGGGTTGATACATTATAAAGTCAAAAGGGTATATAAT